AACTTCACACACAAGTGTCTGAGAGCACCATTCTCATAACTTTTCTTCTAAGTTAACTGATGAGGATTTTGTACAATCTTGTATTAGTACAAGCAGCAGATGAGTTTCAATTTCTTCTGGACTCGTTATGTGATCAGTTAACAGCAACTGGCATAAACATTAAAATAAAGTTTATACGGTGCCACCAAAAAAAAATGCATTCTCTGTGTTTCTTATCCTTCGTTTTGGTAAATTTTCTTTCATTCATTCATTTGATCTTGTGATTGATTTGTGTAATTTTTCTAAATCTAAGGCACAAACAGTAGACTACATCTACAGCTGATGTAGCTGTTCAGAACATCACTGAAATGTTACTGATAGTAACCAAGAGTCTTCAGTAGGTAAATAAGCAACTTTTCTTATGAAGATGGTCGAGTTTATAGAAAAAATACAAAATGGTACAGAAAATACAAGACGTAAGATAATAAGCATGTTTTATATATCAAAGCTGTTCTAGTTTTCATGAAGACGTATGAAACTCCATTAAAAAAATCTTCTTTATTGTACAGTCAGTTTAGCTTCTAAAAGTGTCTTTTCTCTTCTGTGACTAAATGATATGCAAAATAATTCTGCTGCAATGTTAGGAAAATAAACTCACTAATACTGGTATTGATTTTCTGCTCCATAAAGCAGTGCTTTTCAAATTTTTATTTTACCCATGACTTGTCTCTCATTGACTGGATAAGGGGCCAAGTTCCATCTATGTCTGTTTTTAACAGAAAGCAGAGAACAACAAGATCCCCAGCCTTTAGCTGGTACTCTGATAGATAATGCACTTTTAAAATATGTTTACAATGTATTATAATCTCTTTATCCCAATTAAATAATGAAAATACCATAATCATAGCTGCCATTACTTTTCTGGTTTAGACCTCAAATGGAGATGTTCATCTTACCCTAGCTGGGGAAGGGTGTGGTTGGTCCATGTGTGCGCTGAAAACAGCACTGTCACCAACAAGGTAAGTGGAGCCAATATAATCCAATATAAACCAATAAAAATTACCATGATCATCACAGTGATCAGCAGGTCCCAAGTCATAAATCTGGTAATTCTTATCTGCCATACAACCCCCATAAACTCTGCATTTGGGCAGTTTTATCTCAGCCTTTCTAGTTAGGAAGCTCAAGAACCCACAGAGCAACACTAAGTCATATTATACAGCATAGGAACTTGTATAGAAAATAATTTTTTTTTGGGAAAAGGGAGAGTAGAATGAGTCTTATGTACATTTATATTGCTTTCAAGGTGACTCTACTCATCATAGACATGATAAGCATATAATGACAGATGTATTCCATCCAGACTGGAAATGAGAACCTATATATCTCAGGTAGGAAACACCACCTTGCTGTGTTTCTGCTTCAAGGCTGCTTACTACTCTGCCAGACCCAGATTTAGGCTTTTGGGAAAACAAGGATAGAAGGCGGTGGGCATAGTTATCTTTTATTGAAAAGCATCTCTCTTGTCAAAACTGTGCTTGGTTTGTAGCCATCTAGTGACATACCTTGAAAGACTCTGGTTCACCTGTTCTTGGCTATTTATCTCTACAAAATTTAATATCTGAAAGCGTTATTCTCAAAGAGAAATCTAATTAATAAATTACCCTTTCCTTCTGTGGTTTAGCCTGCAGATATCGGTCCAATAAGGCTCTAGGTTGAAGAGGGTGGAAGTGCTGAATACACAATGCAGTAGAAATATTTTATTATCCTCTAGAGATTCACACTTCACATTCTTGTCTGTAGAGCTCTGAAATCTGGTAAGTTCTATAGGGGCTGAAATCAGGGAGTATAGAACATTGGATTGATGTTTCTTTCTTGGTGAATTTCTTCTGACTTTTTTAAAAATTACTTTTCTTGGATTTTTTTTCACATGATTTTAAGATACTAATTTATACTGCTGTTGTGGAGACATGGCAGAGAAAAGTCAAATTTTACATAACTTATTCATTATGGGTCATTTTGTTTCAGTGAGATTTGGCTTAATAATTAAATTTAGGATGACGATTTTTAGAAATTGGTTAAAATACAGTATGTGGTCAAAGTATTAATAGAGTGTGCCACACACATTTGAAATGTAGACTTTCAGTTTTTTCCAAAACCAACCAGAAAGCCTTTTATTTTATTCTGATTCAGTGGAAATCTGGCATTTCAGAAATGCTTATGTCACATTCAGAATTCTCTGTGAAGAAATCAGATGAGTTCTTTAAGTGTTGAATGCAAAGAAACCATACACTGTGGGAACTGCAAAGAAACCATCCACTACACATGTTCACTGCTGTAGGGACCATCTCAGGAGTCAGAGGATCTGCATGGGGCCATCACCTCTTTCATCCACAGCCCAGATGTAAAGTGCCTCTGTGACCGGTCTGGTTCAAGCCCACTAACTGCACTCAGCACAGCCCCAGGATTATGAGATGTGTCTTCTTTCCTACTGCGCTGGGGAGCCCAGTGAGAAAGGAGTTATTTCCTGCATACTCTCCTTTGAGTGGAAAAATGCTGCAGAGGTATCTGATGTATGCGCCCTGTGAAGGCCATTCTCTCATTGTGTGAACCACGGGAAATAGTTCAGTCCATTGACTAGATACTACTCAGAGCTATCAGGGTACAGGTCTTAGGCTAAACAAAGAACAACAGAAGTCGCATGGATTGCAGTGGCACAGGGCCAGTTAAAAAGTGTATGTGGTATTTCTAAAATATTATGCTCATCAGTAAAATGCAGGAACATGCTACTGGTTAGAAGTTACAGTTAACCCATTTGTAGATGAATTATGTTATAGCCCTATAAAGAGGCAAAATGTCACCAAGAAATATGTCACTGTACTCTTTTTCTTTCAGTGAATTAAGCGTTAGTTCAAAGAATTTCCTTATGAAATTTGAAGATTTATTTGCAATTTGGAAAGCATTAAAGAGTTCTGTTTGCTTTGTTTGCTTTCTGGTATAGCTTATTTCACACGGACAACTTTTTTTTTTTCCTGGTAGTTATGTTCTACTGTTTAGAATAATAACGCAGAATGAACTAACATTTTATTCCAAAGCAAATTAAAATTGATTTACAGTTGTTGATCAACTCTCCCACTGCCAAAGACAAACTGAACTCAAGGTGAAAAAATAGCAGGAAGAACTGGTAGTTTAGGATAAGCAGATTTTTTTTTTTTCCTAGCTGAAACTATAGAGGATGTTTGGGCCAGTAATCTTGTGGGCACTGCTGGCTGGGAGTGAATCAGTGCATCCCTGTGCAGGAAAGCCTGCCATCTACTGAGGCACCAACAGCCTCTGTGGCAGCGCCCTGCTACTCTGCCCACTAGAACAGACATTAAAGTGCATATGATGGTCGGTGTGCAGGCATCCATCACAGCTTTGTTTAAAGGCAAAATAAAAAAAAAACCAAAACACAAAACCAAAAGCAAAACACCAAAAGACCTAAAAAGAAGAAAGAAAAAAAAAAACCAACAGGCTCAACTCTTCATCAAAGCTGAGTATTGGGTATGAATCACTCCTTCTTAACTTTTGCTTCATGTGTCTGATGTTAAACAAATCCACCAGTAGAAAGTAGGCTGACTTTAATCTGACCACACATGACAATATGCCTGGGTGAAAAAGACCACATAAGGTTATGAGATTTATACCATTTTGAAGAGATTGTGATATTTTAAGTGAAGCTTTACAAATAACATTGGGTGGTATTGTGGGGCATTTTACTGTTTAGACAGATGTTTGGTTTCTGTGAAAAGTTAAGTAAGCTTATAAAGAGATTTTGTCCTTTTTTCCTCCATAAGTGCATGTAAAATATTACCCCAATTAATATTTTCATGTTTTCTTTAAATGAGGTCCAGTGGGAAGTAAAAGAAAAGAAACTGTACAATTGTTAAAGCTTTCACAAAATATTTTAATAAGGATGTAACAGCTTCCACATTAGCAATTTTTAAACTAAAAGGAGCTGACTCACAACCCATGTAAGTGAATTAGGATTTTTTCTCACATTTCGATGGGCTTTGAATCAGACAACTTTGAAATACTAAATTTATACATTCATTTAACAGTACCTAATTTTTGGTGAAAGAAATGTACAAAGTAGTATCCTGCTTTTTGCTGCTGAGAAAAGTTAAAGGGTATAATTTAACAAAAACCTGTATAAGTCCACCACTGCAAATACTAGATGCCTGAATTGTCAATTTTACACTTAACACTGTACTTAAGCACCGTAGCTACCAGTACAATGCTACGGGTATGCTGCTACTAGAGATTTTTCCCAATCTCCTGCTTCAGATTACCAGTAGTTATAATAAATACAACCACAGTATTGTGCTAGAGAAGTGATTTGTCACAGCTACAGGGACACCTGCCACTGTGTGACACTGTTAACACAGGCGGTAGAAAGCAAAAAACAGAGCTGCTTATTTCATCACAGTCCGTACCAATTCTTACGTCTGGCATAAGAGGGAGCAGGGATAGAAGGTTTTGTTTAATCAGCTGTCATTTATCAAACACAAAAGCTTAATTCGTCTATACGAAAATTGTTCTGTCATAAGATGGGAAGAGAAAATTCAAGAGAGAGAATTTTTGTGGGAGAGACAATGTAGATGAAAGAGTTAGAAACAGTGACAACGTTTTTATCTGAAAAGGAGCCTTCTTGAGCATCACCCATTTAAAATGCAACCTTGCAAGTAGCCACCACAGACCTAAGTACACAGTATAAATTGCCTCAGAGAAACACATTCACAACACAGTGACACAAATCAAATAAAAAAAAAATCAAACAAAAAGACATCTGGTACACAATAAAACCAAGATTCTCAGAAATGAAACATTGAGCAGCTATGGGCCAGTATATTACATTGGCAACCCATGAAACCCATTTTTTTTTTTTTTAGTGCAACAGAAAAAGCTAGAGCAAGGGTAATAGCTATTATCAAACAGCTACTTCTTTTTTTTTTTTTTCCTTTTTTTTTTTTTTCTTCTTTGTCAAGTATTTATTTCAGAGCCTGATGGAGATTTTGAGACTAATCCCTCTGTTTCCATGTAGGCTAAAGTGACTTTGCGGCCACCCAGGTCATATAAAACTGTCTCAGCTCCCTTCATCGCTGTTTCACAGCTGATGGAGCAGGTGCAAGACAATAGCTTCACAGTCTAGCGCTCCTTTTAAACTTGATTATTAGCACACTTTATTGTATGTATGGACACATTCAAACATTTCCCAGCTCAGTGCTTCCCCCGGCTCCTCGCTTGGCGCTCTGCTGCCTGTGAGTCACAGGACTGTTTAACTGCCGTTATCAGCAACCTGCTGCGCAGCTCTGAAGCACAGCAATAATCAGATTTTTTTTTCCAAAGACCTTTTCTGCCCTGTTTCCCCAAGCATAGCACAGAGTGCCAGAGCCCCAGTGAGGTGGAAGCTGTCTGCAAAGCAAAAGACAGCTCCATGACTATGCTGCTTCTTTTCTTGGGGCCTTTTTGCTCCCTGCTTTCTCTTTTATTCCTGGGGGTGGCAGAGAGAGGCTACTTGCTCCTTCCTGGCGGAGGACAAGCTGTGTGTTGAGGGGACTTTTCCCAGCATTTTTGATCTCTGAGGGGGGAGGTGCATACTGACAGATGCTGAGCAGGGTCACTTTCAGTTTTGGGGGAGTCTGAGCCTGAATGCTGGGGCTTGACTGAAGAGGCTTGACTCAGTGGCCTGGGGAGTCCCACCAGCCAAGGGAGAGGGCAATCTGTACAAAAGGTGAGGGGAGAATTGCTGTGGGACCCATACAGCCACTCATCAGACAGAGAAAGGGGTGGCAGAGCCTGGCTGCCAGACCCTAAGTCAACCTATGAGTGCATCAATCTGCTAAGTGGGTGATAAAGCATCAGTGACTGCACCCGCTCTCAAGGGAGGCAGAGAGGGAGATGGGGCAGCAGACCGAGGATGTGGGGGTTTCTTTGCTCCTTCTTGTCCCAAACACCGCTGTTGGTGGGAAGGACTAAACCCCCCCTCCCTCCCAGCCTCCCCATGCCACAGCCCTGGCCTCGCTCACCCTCCTGCTGGGGGGCAGTAGGGGAGTGGGGGGCAGGAATGCTTCCTCAGAGAGTGGTAATCCTGGAGGTGCAAGTGCCATTCCTGTACATGCTCCCTGACTCCAAGTTGTCTGGGGGAAAGTCCTCCACGCTGTATGCCCTGCTCTTGAGGGCAGTGGCATAGTAGTCGATGGGTTCCTCTGCAGCATTGTCCATCCAACTGAGGCAGAGCAGCCGCTGGAAGGACCGCTTGAAGTTGTCCGAAAGAAAGCCATAGAGGATGGGGTTGGCACAGCTGTTGGCATAGCCCAAGATAACAGAGAGCTGGCTGATGGTGGCATCATCCTGCTCTACGAAGACATTGACCAGCTGCACAATGTAGAAGGGCATCCAGCAGATGACAAAGACCATCACCACCATCATGACCATGAGGGTGATCTTGCGCTCCGAGCGTTTGCGTTGCTGCCAGCCAGCCTTCAGGGCCACCATGCGCATCTTGGCAATGATGAGGATGTAGCAGAGGCAGATGGCCACCACAGGCAGCAAGAAGCCCATCAGAAAGGTGTAGACCACAAAGACCACCAGCCACCTCTGCGTGGGCTCTGGCATGAGCATGTTGCAAGCCACCGTTCCATCACTGTTGGCTGCTGTGTTGGAGAAGATGATGATGGGCAGGATGATGAGGATGGAAAGCACCCAGACACCCAGATTGACCATCTTAGCTACAGTGGGCCGGCGGTACCTAGCCGCCTTGATGGGGTGCACCACAGCAATGTAGCGGTCCACACTGAGCACGGTCAGGCAGTAGATGCTGGTGAACATGTTGATGGCATCCACGCTGAGCACCAGGCGGCAGAGCAGTGAGCCAAAGGGCCAGTGGTGCAGCAGGGTGGAGGTGACCAGAAAGGGCACGCTGAGCATCAGCAGCTCGTCCGCGATGGCCAAGTTGAGGATGTAGATGTTGGTGGCCGTCTTCATCTTGGCGTAGCGCAGGATCACGTAGATGACCATGGAGTTGCCGCACAGCCCCACCAGGCATACCACGGAGTAGATGAATGAGATGAGGATGGCGCTGCCCTGAGACTCGCTCAGGGTGCTGTTCGGAGCGCCAGAGGAGTTCCTGCCGCCCGAGTCCATGCCCCCCGCCGCCGCCTCCTCCGAGGCGCTGCCGGCTCCGC